TAAATCAACAACACGAAAAAAAACTTACCTCTTCAGGAAGAATAGTTAAGATGTTTAAAACAATCAAATGACCTTTTTCGGGCTAGAAAGATAACAAAAAAAAAAAACATAAATAAAAGTTATCAAACAATTACAATTAACAAACATGTTCAATTAAAAATTCGTTTTGTGATTGTGTAAATAATGTAATAATTGCTGTAATACCATTCTTCCATTTATCTGGCATCATATTTAATATTAAATGTCCTAACTAAGCACAAAAAACAACAAAACATTCTTTACTTTTTTTTTTTTCGCTCAATTTCTACATACAGCAACAACTAATTTAATTGTTATTTGTTTTGAATTAATTGATATATAAAAAACTAAACGTTGAATAAGTTGTTGAAATAATTGTTGAATTTGATTATCATCTAATTCGGATCTAATTCATATATATATATATATATATTTAAATAATGAATAATATTAAAAATAAAAATCTTACAAATGTTTTGAAATTTTATTACATAAAGCAACAGCACCAAAAAATTGTACACTTGGTGATTTATTTGTATTTAATAATTTCCAAGAAAAATCCCATGCTAATTGAGAATATTGTAAACATTCTAGAATACTATTTAATTGTTGTCGTTGTGGAACAGTTAATTGAGATGTTGGTGAATAAAAATCATTAATTATATGTTCTAATTGAAAGATTTATTTATTTATTTATTAGAATTTTTTTTTTTTTATTCTCTAACAAAAATAAAAACTAACCGATTTCTTCTATGGAATAATTTATTGCGGAAATATTCTTTGAATCATTTCCATTTATAATATTTGGTGAACTATTAAACGTTGTTTGAGATGCCATCAGCATGGCGATAAAAAAATAACAAAGTTAATTTTTCTTTTTCTTTTTCTTTTTCGTTCTTGACAAATAAAAGAGAATCGTTCTAGAAAAATAAATTGTTATTTGATAATAAATCGTTTTTAAATTATTCGTGTTCGATCTGTTGATAAATTCTTTATTCAACCCTTATTTGTTTTCTTTTTTTTTTCCTTCTTTCGATTCGGTGAATCTCGCTATACGTTTATGTTCTTATGCAATCATAAATACATATATGATGTCACTAGTCCACAATAAGAGTGTTATAAAAAATTTCTCGTACTTATATTATTGACAATGGTATTATAATATTAAATTCAAAATTATTTTAAATGACAAAAAAAAAAAAGATTTGAATAGATTTTATTCATGAAAAGTTTTTTGTTACTTTCTCTTTCATTATGTTGAGCTATTATAATCAAGCATTTTACATACATAATCAAATAGCAAATATACCGAAAAAAAAACAAAAGAAAAGAAAGACTCTTATATGATAAGTGACACTTATTTCTTGTCACCTGGTTGTTCAGATATTCTCTATGATTTAATTTATAGATGTTTCTTTCTTTTTATCTGTTTTAGTTTAGATTTTAATTCGATTTCGAGTTATTGAAAATAGAACAAGTAAGAAATTACATGACTTTTTAAAAATGAAAGACACAGAATCTATTGATCTAAATTCATAAGAATATAAATCTGTAGGTCTCAATCGACTATGTAATCTTTTCTGTGAGTATAAAAAAGCGATACTTGGTTTCATTGAAAAATGTCAATTCAAATCTATCTATTAAGTATTTAGCATAATACCTTTCGTCTATATTATTCATATGCAAGAGGACATTAAATATTATTATTCGTAATATTAATCATCATATGCAACGTTATAAATAATCTAGATCCGCTTCAATAAACATTATGATGATAAATACTATTGTTTGTGTAAAATAGAATACGAGAAAGAGTAAACGATGAAAAAGATTTTATTTAAAAATAAAGAAAATTTCTAAGCTTTTGCTTTCTTTTTCATTTGTGGCAGTTTACATTTATTGTTTGTCAACAATGAGAAAATTGAAGTTCTGTTGTTTTTTTATTGCCTGGAAAAAATTGTTCTTGTTTTTTTTCTTAATATTTTGATTATAAGTCAATGCAAAAACAAAAAACTTCCAACGTATTTCATAGATTACGATATGATATTAATATCATTCTATTGACAAATGATAAGTTTGAGAAAGAATATTAAATTTCTTAGCTATACTTGATTAAAACATGTCTCCTCATATGATTTTGACAAACTGCAAAAACAAAAACCAATTGCATTTAATTGAATACATTCTGTTAGATGAACGAAAGTGATGAGAAGTTTTGTTTTGAGGATTCATTTTATTTTCGTGAATTTTTGAAATGTCTCTCCCATCAACAGGTTATTGGTAAATGCTTTTGTTTGTGTTAAAGAGGCATGACTATGATTGTTATTCATTGAAAATTATTGAATAAAGACAAGATTGTTTTTTTTTATATGTACAACAAATAGGCTATGCGCTTGTCTAAAATGGACGTTACTTAATCCCGTAAAGAAATTAAAGTTCAAATACTTATTATTAAATCCTGTTTTTAAAGTTCGTTTTTTTATCCTGGATTTAACATTGGGGGTATTTCCGATGACAAAACTTGGTATTTTCTTTTTTTATTCTGTTAAAAACAATGATTGGACGGTATTTTCCAGATGTAAAAGAAAGAACCTACATTGAAGAAGCCTATGACAGAGCATGTATATGACTACAACATTAAAGATTCGACTTTTCCCATGACAGACGATGCTTAGGTAGTTACACAGTATATAAAACAGTAGTAGTCAGCGATTTTGAATCATTCAATCAGGTTTGCACAACAGTTATTATTATTTGTTTTGTAATTTTTACTAAATAAACCAATAATATTCTGTCGTATTTTTTGTAGATGTCCCAACCTTGTGCTATAGAAAATTGTAAACGTGCATCGCGCGCTTTATGTCATTGTTGTCATCAAAACCTTTGTCGAGATCATTTAAATCAACATGATGATATGTTAAATGCTAAACTAATCCCGTTTACAGACGAAATCAATCAATTGGATGATCGACTTAGGCATATTGATGTCAAATATATTCTTGAACATACTCATGAACAGTTAGATCAATGGCGTCGTGAATCTTATAGAAAGATAGATGAATATATTGATGATAGAAAACGTAAACTTACTGAAAATATTAATTTCCAAATACACAATGCATCTGACGGAATAACTCGTTTAAAAGCAATAATAAGTCAACTTATTGAAAAACAAGATACTACTGTTGACGATCTTAATGCTATATCAAGAAATATACAATCTATTCGACAAGAAATCACTCAAGTAGAATATAAAATGATAGATCTTAATATAAGTCCATTAGAAATAGATCATCGACTAATACGACTAGGAGAGGAATATGTTAAACATGATTTTAATCTATCTACTTTAATGCCTCCATTTCATATAATTAATCGTTCACCACAGAGTCATAAACCTGTTACTACTAATAATAAAGTTTTATTAATGCATCTTCAAAATCAACTATGTTTATTTAATCAAGACCTTCAATTCATAAAAGGTATACCTTGGAATGCTTGGATATGGGATATGTGTTGGTCATCAACACTATCACGTTTTTTCATCATAACACGCAATGAAATATTTATATTAGATGAAAATACCATGACACTTGAATGTTTACAAAAGGAAGATAACTATTCATTATGTACATGTACATGTTCAGATATATCATTTTATGTCGCAACAAATGAGCAAAGTTCAAGTATATGTGAATTTAGTTTATTACCAACTATAAAATTAATTCGTCGATGGCAACCCACAGATTTATGTCGAACCAATGAAATGATTCAAGATATGATGTTTAATAGAGGAACATTAGCTTTTATTATTGAAAATCAAACAAGTCAGAAAAAACGTATGGAACTTCGATTTGCACAAACATTTGAACAAATATGGTGTATACAATTTGATTTAATTGATCCTTTACATAATGTATTTCGTTTATGTTCATTTAATTATAATGAATGGTTGGTTATTGATTGGAAATCATCACATATTTTTTATGTAACAAAAGATGGAGAACTTAAATCAACATATATATATGATCAAGTACCATATCGTTGTTGTCAATTTGGATCAAATATATTGGTTATATCAGCTAAAAATAGTGTTAACTTTCATAAAATATCAAATCTAAATGAATAATGAATTTATTTCAATTAGATAACAATGACATACGCATTGATATTTTTTTATTCTAAATTCGTTTTGTTTTATTTTATTTTTTTTAAATGATAGTTGATAAATTATTTTTTTAATTTTATCAAATAAATCGTTCTAAATTTGATAATTTCATTTTGTTTTCCAACTTAGAAAATCAATAATAAAATTCATATGGATAATTGCTAATAGAAAAAAAGAAGTATCGATAATGTACACATTTATATTATGAGTAATTGATTTATAGCAACAAGAATACATGATATCATATTTCACTAGTTCCTTTGATAGATTACAAAAGAATTCCATGTGACTTTGACACTAATGAATAACAGATACAAGGATGATGTTTTATGTTTACAGTTAACCCTTTACGGCCGGCTATTTCAAAATTGCCGTACCCCTATACGGGAAAATGTTGCCAAATGGCAACATCCGGCCGTAAAGGGTTAAAGTAAATTCAAGGACAAAAAAAAATAATATTTTCATTAGTCATTACAAGGGAAAAAATTTTATCCCAACTTTCGTTTATGTACTGATGTAGATGTGATAGAAATGTTATATCTGATTCTTTTACATGCATCTAATAATAAACATCTTGACATATTATTTTCCTTTTTTGTTTGTTGGGTTTTTTCCAGCTTATTCTGATACATGTGAAGTATCCCACAATTATCATGCAAACATATTTATTCAAATAATAATAAAATCTTAAGGGTCATGCTTGTTGATAAACAATACTGTCCTTGTTTTTTTTCCTTTTTGAATTCTTTAAAAAATGATAATCATACGAGTTTCTGTTTTTTTCTTTAATTCAATATTTATTTCAATGTTCTAATTAATTAACATTTATATCAGGTGGAAAAGCATAAAAAAGTATGTGTTCTAATCTCCATCCTGGTAAATCATCATCTATAATATCACCCATTCGAAGATATGATCGACGTGGTTCACTAACATCTTCTGTACCATAATTTATTCTATTCCAATATCTCCATACAGGTTTTAATAAACTTGAATTCATTGATGTTTTATATGCATAAAAAATTGTACCATCATATTTCCATTGATTATTGCCAATTGGTAATAGTGTAGAATCTATTTGTAATGTATTAGTCCAAATACCTTTTGTTTCTGAATGAAAACCATAAATTGGTATAGTATCAGGTTTTTGTCGAATATATGCTTGACAAAGAATGCTATCTAGTATCCAACCATCACCCATAGTACTACCAGCAGTATGATACCAATAACGAGTTTGTTCAGTTTTAGGATCAGTATATTTCCATTGTGCAATTTGAACTAAACTATAATGTATAGAAAAAGTGATGTTGTACATTATAAAATATGAAATAAAAATAATTTACTATTTTTTATAAATAGGTAAAATTTCTTGTACAGGTTTTTCAGTGGATGAAAGTAGAAATTGACTATTTGTATTTTCATCAATAATTGTTTTATTCGTATCAATTGAAGATGATTCATTTTCTGAAAGATATTTTTCAATTGATTTCGATTCGATCGATGATAAATTTACAGTTAACAATATTGTTTTATTAGAAATGTATTTTGAATCCAATGAAAAAGACGAATCAGAATTATTATCAATATCAATTGGAAATGGATCACCAGGTGTAGAACTGAATGCACCTGAAGTTCATATTACATATAAGATTTTACTGAAAAATATATACCTGAAATAGTGATGATAATGACAATGGGTAGAGCAAACAGAAAACAAAGATACATAGTTGTTATATATTCTATGGATCAAGCAAATGATATAAATGATTGTATGTTTATCTCGTCATATATATATATAAATGTACGAATGAATTTTGCGTTCGATTTTTTTTCTTTCTTTAATCGTTCAGTATGATTAAGGTACAAAACTGTTACGAACTAAGAGGATGTGTGCCTATGCCCGTCGGCATGATAGTGCATTGTGTCATCTGAACATCTGTAGTCGTGCTCTTTCTTTGTGTACATCACCTCATATAGCAGAAAGAGCGAATACGACTGAGTGAATAGAAACAAAGAACAAACGGTCATGCGATAGATAGAATGAGAGATAATCACAAGGTCAACACGTGAAAATATAAATATAGACAAAACGATAGTTATATGAAGTGAAGCGTAACGGTCATAAAGTCGTTACAGAAACAACTAATCATCACAATATTAAATAGTTTTAATAGAAGTAAACTTGTTTTTTTGTTTTTATTAGAAACAAAAAAAAAAGAAAAAGAAACAACATTGATATTCAATATTCAATTGGTAATACATAAAAAAGTATTTTATCAAATGTCCATTCTGATTGACTTTCAATACCATGATTTTCTGTTTGTATAATAAGATATGATATACGTGTTTCAGTTGCATCTGTTGTACCTGGTTTTAATTTATTCCAATAACGTACAACAGGTTGAAGTTCACTTGAGTTCATTGATGTTTTAAATGCATAGAATGAAACACCATCTGGTATCCATTGTTCATAACCAATAATAGGTGGTTTTGGATCTATTTGTATTGTATTTGTCCAAATAGTTCGAATTTCTGAATGAAATGCATAGACTGGTTCAGTATTTGATTCTGATTTATTATAAGCTTGAAATATAAATCCATCAAATGTCCATCCAAAACCCATACGACCACCTTCAGGTTCATACCAATAACGAGTATCTTTTGTTTGTGGATCTATATATTTCCATCGACCAATTTTAATTAAACTTTTAAATTGAAAAATAACAAAAAATATGATCATGCTGTTGAAAAAAAAAATATATCTTACTTCGTTTTACTAAATGATTTTATTGATGATAAAGTTGATGATTCTTGTGATAATATTAATTTTTTATCCAAATTTTTATTTTTATCAATATCATTATCATCAGATTTGAGAAAAGATGTAGGTTTTGTACTTGATTGTGATAATTTTTTGTCAAGATTTTGTCTTTCAACATCACTCTTATGAGTGTTTATTGTTGATGTCGATTTTGTAGATGTTGATATGATATATTCTATAAAATTTTCTTCCTCATTTATAGAATCAAATGGATCAGCTAATGATACTGAACGTAATGGAGTTTCATCATCAGTTGGATCTCTTCCTATCTCATTAATATTGATTAAATCTTCCGATGTAAGAATTTTCAATTTATGTCGACCGATTGGAAAAGGATCACCAGGATGAACACCAAAGCAACCTATGACTAAATCGGACAAACCATAAAAAAAAATCAAAAAGAAAATTTCAATTAATTTATTTTTACTTTGGAGAATAATAGTAAGAATATTAAACAAGAGAAAATAATACATTGTTGTCTTATGTTATCCTGACGACGTATGATGTTAACTAAGGCCATGTACATACTATGAAAATTCATGTCGAATTAAGCAACTTGATTGGTTTAAAATTTAAAACAGATATAAGTCGAATTAAACAAGGCGATTTAATTTTGATACACCAATCAAATTATAGCTTGATTGAACATAACAGAACAATGATAGGTGAATGAAATTGATGTCGCTCAAAAGTTCTTTGTTTTCAGTTTTTTTTTCACTCAAATATAGAGATTATGATTAGTGAATTAACTATTATAGTGTGCATAAGTATCAATTTAAAACAGAAATAAAACTGTCTTATTTCTCTAGTGTGTAGATAACCTTTTGTTTTTTCTTTCTTTTCATATTATTTAGTTATTTCATATCATTACGAAAGATCAAAATGATGTCAGAAAAAATATTTTTAGGAATGCATAGAAATAAACTAATACGTAATAATAAAAAACTAAAGATACAGAGTGAAAAACTCTACAATTTATTAATTATAGCTTATTTTAATTGAATCTCTTTTGTTTTTCCAAATTCTATGCGATCAATATTGGATACAACAAATAACATTATATATTGATAGACGATGAATTGCTTTTTTGCTATTTTATTAATTAATTAATCATAGTTTTTAACTTTTTCCCGTTGCATATTATTCATAATAGCATTCCACACGTAATATACCAACACATGAAAACTAGGACTAGTTAGTAGAATGCGAAGGTTCTCAAAACTGGAGTTGTTTAAATCTATGTAGAGAAATGTTCATTTCTTGATTTTCGAGATTGAAGATTTCAGTATATACGTATAATATTGCTGTGTATGTGACGTTTTTAATACCAACAAGTCAGTAGTGAAAATTTCTTAGAAGTATATTTAAAGTTTTCTCATATATCTGATGATTTAACGGTTTTTGTTTCATGTAATATTTCGAAAATCGAAGCGTAGCCGAAACCGCAGTCTCAATTCAGAGTAAGTTTTGAAACATCTTAACTCTGTCATTTGGTGTCCATCTGTGATTCTCAATAAACTTCATGAAATTTTTCTTCATATTATAACTTATTATTTCTAATGTTTATGTGATGTGGTGTTATCTTGATACATGTAATTATCGTTTGCCTTCAGATTGTGCTTGTGCAAAAACAACTTTCAATATGATAATATTTTATTAGATTTAAATATAATGAGAACCGTAAGAATTATTGTTAGATGTACCAAATCACACTATAATTCTTTTTAGATACATAGCATTGTGGTTTATATAGTCTTGTTAGTGTGCTCATTGTCAACTTGCAATATAAACATATTCAAATGAGAATTATTTGTTTTTCTCAATAAATAGAATTCTTTTCCATCGATGAGATAAGAAAAGCAAGTTAAAAAATGATTGTATTCGACATTGAAAATTAGTCGTATAGAATTTTGAAAATAAAAGAGACACATATAAAATAAGATTTATTTGCTTGGTTGTATAGCTTTTCACATGCTGCATCTTGAGATAGATACTGTTATTCTTCTGTAATAAAACATAAGGAGAGATTAAAATATAAAATGTAAAGTGTAGTGATTTATTATGGGTCATCTGTTATTTAAAATACAGAAAATATTGTAGTACTATTTATGTAGATTTTTTCAACAATTCTAAATTGTTTTATTGGAACATAGTGATGGGGAAATAATGGCACTAATTTCCGGTTTTAAAAATTTTTATACTACCATATATATTTTGTGATTTTCTTCATATTTACGCTCTATAGAAAAGATGTTTTGGAACTATCACTAGATATATTCAACGTAAAAGCTATCCATATACCATTAGATATTTAGAAGTACGGCACTAGGAACAATTACTTCTCTCTTGCAAAATATTTATCGATTTTTCTTAGCAGAACCACATTCAAAAATAAGCAAATACGACCTCGATTGGGTTTCAAATCACATTTTATAACTATGATCGATCACTTCTTCCCTTTCCTAATATCTTTCGAAGGTTTACAGGCTAGAGTCTATTGAAAATAATATTTAAAAACTTAAAATATAAGATATATTGTTAGACTTATTCAAAATCAATGCATAACACTTTCTATAGACATCTGTCGTTTTCATTGATGATTCGTTCTTCAATTCATCGTTCATACTTAACAATCAATCCATAGTGATGCATTCGAACTCGAATTGTTATGCTATTTGATTAAGATTCTTATTTATATTGAATATATTTTCTTAATTAATTTCAAATTTTGAATAATCTATTTTAGATCTTATTATATGCAAGTTTTTGCAAGAGTATGTCATCTGTAATATTACGTCGATTTGTTAGTACATGCCGTCCAACATCAGCTATTTATCATGGACGTAATTTTACTACTACTTCACCTTTCTTAACCGAAACGAACAATAGCATTAGTCACAACACTGATACGACAACTTTTTCATCAGATACTCCACGAACAATTACTCTAATACCAGGTAAATAAAATTTTTCTTTTAGATTTAAACGAAAAAACAATATTTTTAAAATTTAGGTGATGGTATTGGTCCTGAAATCTCAAAAAGTGTTCAACAAATATTTCAAGCTGCTAATGTACCATTAAATTGGGAACCAGTTGATGTTACACCGATCAAATCAGTATGAAATATGTTTAAAATTTTTTTTTCATATTAATTTTTTTTTACGGAGAATTTATTTAGGCTGATGGAAAATTTCGAATTCCTGTTAAAGCTATTGAATCAGTTACAAAAAATCGTATTGGACTTAAAGGACCATTAGCTACACGTAAGAAAAGAATTAGTTTTTTTTTCTAAACGAAAAATTAATAAACTCTGATTTTCTCTTTTTCTTCTTCTAGCTGTTGGCAAAGGACATCAATCACTTAATCTTGCTTTACGTAAACAATTTAATCTATTTGCTAATGTAAGACCATGTAAAACTATTCAAGGTTAGTTTTTTATTTTTTATTTTTTTAAGCTTCAAAATAAATTTTATTTATATATTTAGGTTATGAAACACCATATACAAATGTTGATCTTGTTACAATACGTGAAAATACTGAAGGTGAATATTCAGGCATTGAACATACAATTGTACCTGGTGTTGTACAAAGTATTAAACTTATAACTCAACATGCATCATTACGTGTATGTGAATATGCATTTCTTTATGCTAAACAACATAAAAGAGAAAAAGTAACAGTTGTTCATAAAGCAAACATCATGTAGGAAGTTTTTTTTTTTTTATTACTATTGGAGTCATTTGTTTTCTTTCTTTGAATAAATTTAGGCGTCTTTCAGATGGTTTATTTCTTCGAAGTGCACGTGAAGTTGCTGAAAAATATCCCGAAATTAAATTTGAAGAAATGTATCTTGATACAGTTTGTTTAAAGGTTTGTTTTTTGTTTCTCATTGGAAAATAATTCATTAGGAACTTGCCTATTATCAACGTGAAAATATAAATCAGACCAATGTTTTTTTTTTTTGAATAACTTTCGATAGTAACATCATAGAGACCTGTATTCAAGAGGGAAGATCCGAAGCCATCGAGATATATAGAAAAGTGATTGGTGAAAAAATGAGTCAATCAGATCAGTTTTTGGTCGAGATTGTTGAAAACGATTCTTTCAAGTCATGTCTCTTTTAAATTACAGGGACAATAGAAGCCATCAATAGAAAAAAATTCTTTTCTTTCGATCTGCACAAGGCCAGCATTTCTCGCTGGTTTCGTTCAAAATTTATAAAGCTTTTCTTCAGATCTTCGATTTTAGCTAATTGACTTGTGATTACCCGAAAAAGCAGTTATATAGAAGTAATTCAAAGTGCTGAGTCGAATGGTAATATTTGTTTTTAAGTTCGCATCGATCTGACACTGTTATCTCAATATTTCTAAAACTCCATAGTCAGCCTCTATTTAAGAAATGAGTTAATATTTCATAAAATATTAAGATAATAACGTATGATTGATTCAAAACTAAAAACAAACACTACTGTTTGACTCAGCATAATAATGTATCGTCTGCCTATCTGCTATTTTGAGTGTTCACGATTCAATTAGTCGAAATCAGAAGTTTCAAGATAAGTCTGATAACTCTCAAACAAAAAAAGGCTAGAAATGTCGATCTTTCGTAGATCAAAAGAAAGATGACATCACAATATCATTTTCAAGAATCTTCACCAAGAATTCATTTGCTTTGTTATTTTTTGACCACACAAATTTCTATATATCTTGAGGACTTTGGATCTTCCCTCTTAAATGGTAAAAGTGTCAAGTCTTTATGATATTTCTATTGCAAGTTATTTGAAAAGTATTGACCTATTTTATAATTTGGCTTCAATAATAGTTTGTTTGCTTTCTTTTTTTTTTTGTCGAAATATAGATGGTTCAAGATCCAACTCAATTCGATTGTCTTGTTATGCCAAATTTATATGGTGATATTCTTAGTGATCTTTGTGCAGGTCTTATTGGTGGTTTAGGTTTAACGCCTAGTGGAAATATTGGTGAAGGTGGAGCAGCAATTTTTGAAGCTGTTCATGGTACAGCACCCGATATTGCCGGACAAGATAAAGCAAATCCAACGGCATTACTTTTAAGTGCTGTTATGATGTTACGTCATTTACATATGTTTGATAAAGCTGAACTAATTGAAAAAGCATGTTTTGATACAATTAAAGAAGGAAAAGTATGTCATAAAAAAAAATCTATGATTCTATCATATTTCATAATTGAGAATTTTCTATAAGATAAATACCGATTTTTTCTGAGTTCACATAGACATATTTAGGGGGTAATGCAAAAGATAAAACATAGTCCTATATATTATACAACGTATTGATGTCAAACAAACTCCAGCTCGGTCATAGTTTATCAAATTAAAAGGAGGTTGTCAGCTTTCACTGATCTTGATGATTAGTCATTTGAAGAATTCATTCTTCAATGGTCATTGATTAATTAAAATTCATTTAATACTTCGACTTAAACTAAATCATGTGAC